CATTGGCAGGCGACACAATGACACTATGGACACGGTCCGTGTCACTAGTTAAAATTGCTTATTTCTCTGGATTTAAACATTCTTCGAAACATTTGGGATAATGTAAGACACAAGTCAGCAAAATATATAACACTGTTCTAGTGGTTTTTGGATATTTTAATAAAAACATCTTACATATTGTGCCTTTAAAGGGACGTTAACTGTTTTTCAATACCAAGTACGCAAAGTTCAGACTTGCATGCTTGGTAGTTTGGACTTTGCAAGTTCGACTCGAGAGTGTGAACTCTTGGGGACGGGAGGATGAAAGTTCGGTAATTCTGCAAGTGGAACAGCAGCGTACTTGATAACGTCAGTCAGCTCGCCTTGGCTTCTCCTATAATCCTCACTATATGTTTATTTACAGTAAGACGAAATATGATATCAAAGGCACTGCCTCTTTTCTGTTTCATTTAAACATTAATAGCCACAAACATATGGTTCATGCAACGCATACACACATTACAATAAAACAAAATGACATCAAACACCACTGCCTCTTTGTTTTCTTCATTGTGTGTATCCTTAACAATAGAGCCCGACCGATATATTGTTTTGCCGATACTATCGGCCAATATGAGCCTGTCACCGATATATCTGTATCGGCGAATATGCCGCCGATATTACATTTTTTTTTTTACATAACATATAATGTAGATAAAATGCTTGAAATGGTGTAATTACTTAGTTTGTCCAGCAGAGCACGCTCCATTGTTTGCTACTGGCGACCTGGATGAAATGCTTTAAAGCTTAAATCTATGGAAAACCATTGAAAATTTGAACGGCCATATCTCCATAACGGCGCAGCGAATCCGCATCTAATTCGGGGGATCCCTTCAGCTGGAGGAACCCTCTCGAACATTAATTGAGTGTACGTCTAGAGGCCCTCTTTTGAATGGGACCACCGCCCACGTCGATAACCCCCGGGGTTCGGGAGTTACGGGTGGTTAAATTTGTGGTCCGGCGTTGACCGATCTAGCGATCCCGGGGGGCTACCGACACAAGGAGGGTGGCGTTCGAGAGGGCTCCTCGAGCTGAAGGGATCCCCTGAATTTGGTGGAGATCCGCGGACGCGTTCGCGAGATAGTGACACCAGTCAACACTCTCACTTCAGTAAGGAGGTCTCTTGTTCAGGCAGCAGCATTCAAGTGTTGTCTTATTCGACCGTAAGTGCCCTGCGAAGTGGACTTCACATGAAATTCAGCCATGATTTCAGTTCCAAGGAACGTACACGTTACATTCAAAGGGCATTAAAGTGCGCGAGACGTGAATTTATATTCTATTTATTTACAGAGGTATATTATGTCACACTTCACACTTCTCTAGTAAGTTTCGTCTGTGTGTGAAGACAGTAGCGCAAATCCGTGAATGAATGTTCCGAAGTGAAATAAACTTCAACGGAATAAAGTTGAATGGAATTGTATTGAATTAAAGATGAATAAACTTCAACTTTACTGTTCCAAGGCTCGAAATTGCGACCATTTTGGGCGCATATGCTCCCGAAATGTAATCTGTGCGACCTCAAAATATATTTGGGAGCATTTGTGCGAGTGCATATAATTGTTGTCGTGCGACCTGTTTGCATTTCTCTGTTCAGTGCACTGATGTCAGACTCATTTTGGATAATAAAGTTTATTGTTAAATTCTTAAATGCCCTGCCTCCATTACGTATCTCTGTCACGTCATTATAAGTGCTTGATCACCACATTTGAGTGATCATTGCAAAAAAAATGTGTTTATGTATATGTTCTGTTTATGTATATACTGTATTCTATATATAGTACAGGTCAAATGTTTGGACACACGAATGGGAAAGTGTCCAAACTTTTGACTGGTACTGTACTATAATATGGTTAAACAGATCGTAGTTGATCCGGGATCCATACGGACCAAACCCCACGGTTCGGCAAGCATGTGACCCGCGGATTAATTGCAAAATTTAACCATAACAGAGTATAAGTTTATAATTTGTTCATATTTAAGCAAGCAAATTTTAAACAATTCCAGAGAGAAAAGGCAAAAGGGAACTCGATTCGTTACTCGCGCGCTGTTCTCCAGGCACACAGCCGCACACACATGAAGCGCGCACGCGTTTCAGACTGCGCGCGAACACCGAGCTGAATCCTCTTCTGAATCCTCTGAACAGACACACACACATAAAATTATGACAAAATAGCCATCTCGACAATGATTTAGGTTAACGCAGTCCATTATGTCTCGAGTGAATGAAAACAGCTGAGAACAAAATGGGATGTGATGTGTATCATTATATCTGATCCGTGCATCAGGTCTTTAAGGGACATCGGCCTATAAATACTGCTGCTGTCATTTATGATCATCAAACAACAAAACAGCTGTGATAAAAATCTATATTTAATTTATACAGTAAACACTATGCAGTGTTATTTTCCCTAATTATTACATTTATGTATTTTAATACTACCATCCTTATTTTATTTGTAACATATTGTGTATTTATCTATGCTTGTAATTTGTGTATTTGTTCTTATTTTTACTGACTGTTCTCTTGTCTCTTTAATCATGTTTAAACTTTCTTAGTTAATCTAGTAGTATTTGCTGTGGTATCAAATAAGTACTTTGCTTTAAGTAATAAATGGAAAGCAAGTTAAATTGAAATATTTTTATTTTCTTGCTGATCCGAAAAATGATCCAATCTGTGGGTCAAAAACTGTATTGTGATCCGAACCGTGAGATTTGTGATCCGTTGAACCAATTTAATATACACAAAGAATATCGGCCGATATATCGATATCGGCCCCCTTTTTTTTTTAATCCCTAATATCGGTATCGGCCCAAAAAAAAACGTATCAGTCGGGCTCTACTTAACAAAACAAACTATAAAACACAACCCTCTTTTTGTTTTCATTTTAAAAATATAAAACATATTAACATGTAATTTAGGCAATATGTCCACATATACTCTGATTATCTTCACTGTATAAATAATAATATGAAATATTACATAAAGCACAACACTACCTTTTTTGTTAAATAGCCTATCAGTTTTAATGAACAATAATATTCATTATAAAAGTATAAGTAGGACGTATAAGAGTCTTATAGGAAATAAAGGCAAAGCAAACAATTCAGTCAAACATATGCTACAAAGTCAGTGCTGTACTACGATTAAATAAATATATATGCATATATAGATGCAGCCTTGATAAAAGGGGCAGAGCAAGAACACGCTGCAGTTTTAGATTTAGTTTGTTGTAACAGAAACAATCTTTAGAGCGATTGAATAAAATAGATGGAGCAGCAAATAATAAGGGACACTTTTTTCAACAATATATTGTATGTTAGATAATTATGTAGTTGATATTTAATAGTTCTCCTTATAGAAACGTGATCTGTGTCTATAATGTTTTAAAAATTATATTTTGAAGATCAATGTACCTCATTCATGAAAAGTTTCAGGGAGGTAAAATGTATAAAATTGCATCAAAAGGAACACAATTTTGAATAGAAATTTTCTTCACACTGTTACACCAGGGTTGACTTTTATGTACTTTCACATGAAAAGACTTTTACTTCAGCTAGCAGTTTAAAACAGCATGAGAGGATTCAGACTGGAGAGAAACCTTACGTGTTTACACTGTGACAAGAGATTCAGTCAGTCAACACATCTGAAAACACATGAGAGGATCCACACTGGAGAAAAACCGTACACATGTAATCAGTGCGGGAAGAATTTTTCACGGAAAGGAATCCTTATGACACATATGAGAATTCATACAGGAGAGAAACTGTACACATGTAATCAATGTGGAAAGAGTTTGAAATGCAAATATAGTCTTGAGCGTCACATGAGAGTTCATACTGGAGAGAAACCGTACACTTGTGATCAGTGCGGGAAGAATTTTGCACGGAAAGGAATCCTTATGACACATATGAGAATTCATACAGGAGAGAAACTGTACACATGTAATCAATGTGGAAAGAGTTTGATTAGCAAATATAGTCTTGAGCTTCACATGAGAGTTCATACTGGAGAGAAACCGTACACTTGTGATCAGTGTGGGAAGAGTTTCACACAATCATTACACCTTAAGAAACACATGAAGATCCACACCGGAGAGAAACTGTACACATGTGATCAGTGCAGCAAAACATTTTTGAGGGCTTCAGACCTGAAGACACACCTGGGAGGTCATACAAAGGAGAAGCCACATTCATGTTCTTTGTGTGGAAAGAGTTTTTCACGTTTTTCAACATTGAAAGAACATCAGAAAATACATACTGCTGTGAGAGAGTTCGTGTGCTTTCAGTGTGAAAAGACTTTTACTTCAGTGAAGTGTTTAAAACAGCATGAGAGGATCCACACTGGAGAGAAACCTTATAAGTGTTCACACTGTGACAAGAGATTCAGTCATTCATCAAATCTGAAAAGACACGAGAGGATCCACACTGGAGAGAAACCTTATCACTGCACTGCATGTGGGAAGTGTTTCAATAATTCATCCGCTCTACACAGACATATAAAAAAACATTCACAGTAAGTATTCAAGATTCAGCTGAAATTCTGCTCAAATCAAAGATGGAGTTCCTCCCCAAATAACTGTCAAAACATTTTATTATTGTGCTTTCTTATTTTTCTTCACTGTTGTTTTTAAAACGACTAATTATTCTTCCACTTAAGATGTATTTAGAAAATGCAGATGCAAGATATACTGTCATGTAGCTTTGCAACTGATTCTTCTGTGCTTCTCTTGTAAGAAGGGATGGGTACCAGAACACTGTATTTAATGGGCCCTTTATTCATGAAAAAAATAATACCATTAAAGAACTGAACTGATGTGCAGTATCGTAAGAATTGTAATACCGTTAAAATCTTAACGATACGCAGGGCTCGAATTGAGGGGGGATGGCATCCCCCTGATCGAACAATTGACAAAAAGCAAATCAAAACTTGGTACTAAGAAGCTGCGCACAGCTGAAGCAAGTTTTCGTCATTTTTCGCACAAAATGATTCAAGCGCAACTTTTGAATAAAAAAAAAAAAAGAATACAACAGAAGGTATGGCTTTTCCTCGATTAGAATTTAAAGACATTCCCCTGACATAATGTTATTGTACTG